ATACTTGTGCACTGTATAAAGATAATATATAATCAATATTATCTGGACCTGTTTCCTCTGTTGCAACCTGATTTCTAAGACTGAGTCTTGTGCCTAAAGCCGTTCGCCTAAGGAGGCTACCACTGTGGTACTTAATTGTTTGCAGCCCTGGTGCAGAGTTGGTAAAGTGGGTCAGTCCCATAAAGCAAGAAGGAGTTTGGGATCTCTGCTCCTGAGCTTTGGCGCGGGACTGGTTAAAGGGAGATCCTGGTGGCAGACTACCGGTAAAGCCTGGAGAGTGTACAAACATTCTCCTGGCGTTTGTTTAATTGTCCCTGAACGCTTGGTTTCTCTCCCCATCCCTGGACTGGGGTGAGGGAGAGAAACCTTTGCTCTATTGAAATTCATTTTATTTGTCTCAGCCGACTGTTCCAGCCTATCTAGATCATTTTGAATCCTGACTGTCTTCTTCAGAATTAGCAATCCCACCCAGCTTTGTGTCATCTGCAAATTTGATAAGCATCCCCTCTATGTCTTCCTCCAGGTCATTTATAAAAACATTGAACAACACCGGGCCGAGAGAGAGAGAGAGAGATTTGATTTATACCCCGCCCTTCACTTGGGAGTCTCAGAGCGGCTTACAAACTCCTTTCCCTTCCCCTCCCCACAACAGACACCCCGTGAGGTGGGTGGGGCTGAGAGAACTCTGACACAAACTGCTCTTTTTCAAGGACAGCTGTGCCAGAGCTTGTGACTGACCCAAGGTCACATCAGCAGGTGCAAGTGGAGGAGTGGGGAATCAAACCAGGTTCTCCCAGATTAGAGTCCGCACACTTAACCACTACACCAAACTGGCTCTAGGACCGAGCCCTGTGGCACTCCACTCGAGATTTCCCTCCACATAGACGCAGAGCCGTTTACGAGCACTTGTTGGGTACGATTTTTCAACCAACCATGAATCCATCCAACCTTTGCACCATCCAGCCCACACTTAACCAGCTTATCTTCAAGGATATCATGAGAAACTTTGTCAAATGCTTTACTGAAATCCAGATCTTGGAAGCTAAGCAGGGTTAGGCCTGGTCAGTATTTGGATGGGAGGCCACCAAGGAATACTAGGGTCACTACACAGATTCAGGCACTGGCAAACCACCTGTGAACATCTGTTAACTTGAAAACCTTACGGGGCACCATAAGTTGGTTGCAAATTGATGGCGAAAAAGCTTCTACACTTTCTGTCTGCTGAGTTGCCACCAATGCTTTTGTCAGGAAATGGTTAAAATGTGATGGGCAGATGATGTCCTTATGCCCTCAGTGGTCATGTGCCCAACAGCTTTGTGTACATTGTAGGGCACCCAGCCATGGCAAACACAATTGCTAAGTGATGTGGGCCTTGCATGTCAGGCCCCTTTGTTTGAGCTGACTTAGCGATGGGTAGAGCATGCTGAATTGTCTTAAAGACTTGTACTTAATATGTGATTCCAAGCAAGTCTATTGCCAGGTGTTTTTGGATAGTGCTTCTGAAATGTATCCTGAGCAGCAGTGTAATTCAGTAACAGCAAAAAAAAAAAAATCTAAATGTATGTAGTCTAATATATTTAAAGCCACTTTCTTTTAATAAAAATTGCCGGAAAATGCAAAGTACCAATTTGTTCTGGAAGACCAATGCAGAAAAAAATGGAGCCATGGCAAGTGAGAGCAGAATGACTTTTTTGATGGTTATGAAGTCAAGTATGGAATTCCTGATCTCATAAAATCTTGGTAGCTAAGCAGGGTTGGCCCTGGTTAGTATTTGGATGTGAGACCCCCAAGGAAGTCCAGGATTACTTCACAGAGGCAGGCAGTGGCAAACCACCTCTAACTCATGGGAACTCAATGAAATTGCTGAGCAGTTGAGTTAGAACAGATAAAAGGAAGTACTTCTTCACTCAAAGAGTGATTAACCCATGGAATTCACTGCCACAGGATGTGGTGGTGGCTACAAACATGGACGGCTTCAAGAGGGAATTAGATAAATATATGGAGCAGAGGTCCATCCGTGGCTATTAGCCACAAGGTATAGATAGGAACTCTCAGTCTGGGGCAAATGATGCTCTGTATTCTTGTGTGTGTCTTGTTTCTTGGGGGTGGGGGGGGGGGGGACAGTGGGAGAGGTTCTAATGTCCTGGCTCCACTGGTGGACCTCCTGATGGCACCTGGTATTTTTGGCCACTGTGTGACAGAGTGTTGGACTGGATGGGCCATTGGCCTGATCCAACATTGGCTTCTCTTATGTTCTTACGTTCTTAATAATGAAATTTGCACCCACTGGTGGAAGAGTGATAGAAGGGGACAATATCCCGGGGGGGAGGGAGCTGTGGTTTGACTAACATATATGTGAGGTGTAAATATGAACATGTGAAGCTTCCTTGTAGTCCAATGGTTGGTTCATCCGGCTTAGCATTGCCTACTCTGACTTGGTAGTGGCTCTCGAATGGGCTCGAGGGGAGAAGGGTCATTCCTAACCCCTGACAAGAGTCATTGACTGGCCCTGACCTGGATAGCCCAGGCAAGCCCGATCTCGTCAGATCTCAGGAGCTAAGCAGGGTCGACTCTGGCAAGTACTTGAGTGGGAGACCTCCACCTCTCTGAATATCCTCCAGGCTCCCAGTAGGGGTCAGTCACCAGAGGTCGCCATGACTTCCCCGTCACCAGAGGTCACCATGACTTCCAGGTACGCATGCACGTGCACACACATATATGAAAATACAAGAAAATGCAAACAAAAAAAAAGAGAGAGAGATTCATTTATTGAAGGTGTCAGGAATAAATGGTGGAGGAATGATTTTATCTGGCCAGGTCTGTTAATGCAGTTGGGGTTGATTATCAAGTGAAAGTGTAATTTTAAAAATATAGATTTACTACTAAAGATCTCTGAGACTTTGCGCTTTTCAAGCGGCATTCTCATTTGCTTCTCTGCCTGTTTTTCCTCTATGGCAGACCCGATACTTTGTAGACCACCGAAGAGTGCAGGTGATAGGAGGAAAAGGTGGCGACGGTATTAGCTGTTTTCACAGCGAACCTAGAAAAGTATTTGGAGGTCCTGCTGGTGGAAATGGAGGGGATGGAGGGCATATTATCTTGAAAGGTAAGAAGATAGTATCCTTTGTGCCAGTCCTCATCTGTTCTGGAAGCCGCTGTTCTCACAAAGTTGTCTTGAATTTTTTTGCTGGCTTTTTTCTCAAAGCTGAGTTTTGGGGGGGGGGAACTGGTAAATGAGAGAAGTCTTTACAGATGCGTTCTCCCATTCAGGTAATTAATTCAATAACAGTGGGGGGTTTTCCCCCTGTTTTTTGTGTGGCTTGCAGGCCATAATAAAGGCTGACTGATATTGGATATCTGTGGAATACGTTTAGTTTTATTTATTCAATTTCTTGCTCATCAATTCCTAGCCATAGCTCTGGGGGTGAATTCCCATTGAGAACAATTACGATGAAAAACCTTTCCTTTTATCCAATAAAAGCTCAATGATACAATGATCCTGAGCAGTGGATAGTTGTTGTTGTTGTTAATCACTTATCACCCAAAGGGTAAAAGGAGTAAAAACAATTTTTGCGACTTCTAGAGTTCTTTCTCGATGCCTATCAGAAAGTAGAAAGGTAACTAAGTCATGGGAATTTACATCCAAATAAACTTTCAAACACGGTAAAATATAAGGCCTCCTGAGATTAGTGTGCAGCGGATACTTCAGAAGGATATGTGCTATCGTGTTGATCTTACCTAAGGGACAGGGGTAGTTTCGTTCTGAATAAGGTAAATGCATGAACCTACCCCTCGTAGTTGCCGAGGAGTGAGCATTTAGTCTGGCCAGAATGAACACCCTTAACAGGCTTTGGAAAGACAACAGATAATAGGAGGGAAGAGATTCTGAAGGTGGAATATCAAAAAATTGGGATGAACAGGTGTGGCGTGCTCTAAAGGCAGAGCTTTGGTGATTGATTTTACACGATTTTTGACCAGAGCAACTGCTGCATGAAAACCCAGCAGTTTCTCAAAAACAGTCTTCAACCACATTGACCTATAAGAGTCTTCTTTCAGGAGTGCCAGGTAGCCCTTGCTGCTCAAGTATAACTTGAGGAACAGTCTAGATGCTTGTAACCAAGCCCTTGCCTCAAGGCAATATTGGTTGAGTTTTGAACAGAGAGCCACAGCAGCCACACAGCAAGGAATGTTTAATATTTTCCCCTCCCCAGAAAATATAAAAGAAGATGGTCAGTGTTTTCATTTGCTGAGACAAGCTTTATGGCTACTTTGTAAAGGATAATAGGAATGACTTTTAGGTTAACTTGAACAGCACCTGGAACATAGTTCCCACTGTCATTTTGAAAAAAGTTTAGTATGCTGCCGGCACAGGTTTTTGCTTTTCTTCTCATCAGTGACTGATGAGGCCCCCGTTTTAGGTTACATGTGAAAAGGATACCCAAATATGAAAACTCCTTCACTTGCTGAATTTCTTCCCTGTTCAGAGTCCATCTGAGCACTGACGGATTCCTTTTTTTTGGAGAAAACAACCGCTTTTGTATTCTGGGATGAATAACATTCGAAACAGTTTAAAAAAAAAATCAAACTCCCATAAGAAACAATGCAACTAATGTATGTGTGTGAAGTGCTGTCAATCAATTCAATTCAAAACCTTTATTGGCATCGATCAGAATCATAAACAGTCACCCTTCAGTTCATGGTATAGTGCTGTCAAGCCGCTTCCAACTTATTGTGACACTATGAATTAATGTCTTCCAAAATGTCCTATCATTAAGAGCCTTGCTCAGGTCTTGCAAACAGAGGGCCGTGTCTTCCTTGATGGAGTCAATCCTTCTCATGTTGGCTCTTCCACTTTTCCTGCTGCCTTCAACTTTTCCTAGCGTGTCTTTTCCAGTGACTCTTGTCTTCTCATCACGTGACCGAAGTGCAATAGCCCCAGTTTGATCATTTTATTTCTAGGGAGAGTTCAGGCTTGATTTGATCCAGACCTCACTGATTCGTCTTTTTGGCCATCCACGGTATCCGTAAAACTCTCCTCCAACATCACATTTCAAATGAATCAACTTTTCTTCCTGTCAGCTTTCCTCGTTGTCCAACTTTCACATCCATAAATAGTAATGGGGAATGAATTAACTTGATCTTGGTTGCCCACAACACATCCTTACACTTGAGAATCTTTTACCAGTGTAAGAACAGTACTAAAAGCGGGAAGATTTTGGTATTGGTCCATTAATAAGCTCAGTGAGAAGAGTGCCAAAAAAACCCAACAAAAGGTTTTGGAGAACAAAGAGGGCTTTTATCTGGGGTTCAATGCTCGAAGTGTGGGGAGGCAGCTTCAGTATCAAGGTGCCACAGCAGGAAAGGCCCTGGCCCTCGTAATTGCCCACCTTACTTCCAAAAGTGAGGGTACACACAAAAGGGCATCAGAAGCTCTTAACAGGCATCTTTGTATGGTAGTTGGTAGCCCTACAGCTCCATAATCCATGGCCATTTAGGGCTTTATAGGTAACTACTGTTCCTAAAAGAAGATAACAAATATCATTTTGTTAAACAGTGTCTGTTATCCGTGATTAGCTGTTAATATTAGCTCAGTAACAGAGCGACAGATTGTGTTGTTCAGTCGCACAGTCGAGTCTGACTCTTCACGACCCCATGGACCACATCACGCCAGGCTCTCCTGTCTTCCGTCGTGCTCCGGAGTTTGCTTAATTTCATGTTCGTTGCCTCGATAACCATCTCATCCTTTGCCATCCCCTTCTTTGACCTTCAATCTTTCCCAGCATCAGGGTCTTCTCTGATGAGTGCTCCCTTCTCATTTGGTGGCCAAAGAATTTGAGCTTCTGCTTCAGTATCTGGCCTTCCAGGGAACAGTCAGGGTTGATGTCTTTTAGGATTGACTGATTTGATCTCCTTGCAGTCCAAGGGACTCTCAAGAGTCTTCTCCAGCACCAGCTCGGCCTTCTTTATAGTCCAACTCTCACAGCCATACAGTACTACTGGGAATACCATTGCTTTGACCGTACGGACTTTTGTTGGCAGGGTGATGTCTCTACTTCTTATTATGCTGTCAAGGTTTGCCATCGCTTTCCTCCCAAGGAGCAGGCGTCTTTTAATTTCATGGCTGCAGTCACCATCTGCTGTGATCTTGGATCCCAGGAACATGAAGTCTGTCACTGCTTCCTTGACTTCTCCTTCTATTTGCCAAGGAGTGATGGGGCCGGATGCCATGATCTTCATTTTTTTGATGTTGACTTTCAAGCCATCCTTTGTGCTCTCCTCTTTTACCATCAGCAAGAGGCTCTTTAAGTCCTCTTCACTTTCTGCCATTAGAGTGGTATTGTCTGCATATCTGAGGTTGTGGATGTTTTCCCCAGCAATCTTAATTCCGGCTTCTGAATCATTCAGGCCAGCATTTCGCATGATGTACTATGCATATAAATTAAATAAGCAAGGGGACAATATACATCCTTGTCGTACTCCTTTTCCTATGCTAAACCAATTAGTTGTTCCATATTGACAGATTAGGAAGCTGCAAATATGCACATGCTTTTTTTTACTCAGTTGACTGGGGGATATTCTGCTACAAAGAAGGCGCAGTCGAGTTCAATAACGCCTCGGGTCAAACTGACTACTTTGAAAGACTACTTATAGCCATAGAGATCCGAGAGAGGGAACACAAGGTTTACTCGGTGGAATTAGTATAAAGCATTATCTCTGTGACCTTGCTTTTATTTGTGAAAGTCAATGACATTCTTTTCCCCTCGAAGGCTAACATCATCACGTCTTTCATTATGTTTCCAGAATGCACTTCAAGCATTGTGGCAATGAGAGCAGCATAAGAGCCTAAACAGGATAGAATAGTTTCCTTGAGAGTCAGTGTAGAAGGCACTTCAAAACAGCCTTGAACGTGCTTGTTGGTTTAACAGCCAAGTCTCACAAGCCAGGATGTCTCCAGACTGGGAAGAGAAAGAGGTGGCTTTATTGTGGTGGCATCCTCAGGATAAACGTGGGCAGGCCACGGGGCTGAGCTATCACGATTGATCTTTCCACGCAGAGGTGTCCGATGCAGTCTACACACACTCTTCATTTGTTGCATGGAAGCATGGTCTGCTTAGGGAATTCATAATATGTGAAGGGAGCTGAATCCCCACTGAAGTCTGTGGAATGGAAGCATAAAGGTTGTTCCATTGGTTAGGCCAGTGTCTAGATGTACCTGCTTTCTTTAATCTAACGAGAGATTTTTTTTAAAAAAAACATTGAGTTCCAGTGCAATTTTATGCATGTTTACTTAGAAGTAAGTCCCAATTAAAAGGGCATACCTAAGTACAGCATTATCCTCAAAACTCTGCCCTGATGCATGGCTTGTGGCAGGTATATTTATTTATTTATTCCATTTTTCCCCCATCCTTCCCGAAACGGGCTCAGGGTGGGTGACATTAGGGTACATGAACAATTAAAACCAAATTAATATAGTTAATTCTTAAAGCAGCTAAAACCATTAAACAGTTAAAAGATGGTGAAATAAACGTAGCAGTTCAAACACCACCACCACCACCACCCATAAGCTGGACTTGTGGTAACTGGAGTCACACCAAGCTTATATAGTTACCAGCACTCTGCATGGGACAGATGGAGCCCTGTCCTATGTGTGCTAAGATTTACAGCCAAACCAGATATGAGAGCATCCCTGAGTCCACCACAGGGATGCCTCTGCCATTTCAAGGATGAAATTCCCTCTGTTTACAAAAGCTGTAGGGGCCCCATCCCGATCACATCCATGGCATAAGCGGGAGGACACATTCCAGTCATCCCCTCACACTGTTATCAAGACCCCCAGTGCTTGGGCTCTTATAAGTGGCAGACACAGGTTGTCCCCCCCCCCCCCCCCCCCCATGGTCCTGATCAGGATCAAGCCCTAAAATGGCGAAAGCATTTCCATGGTGAACATAAGAGAAGCCATGTCAGATCAGGCCAATGGCCCATGTAGTCCAACACTCTGTGTCACGCAGTGGCCAAAACCCAGGGGCCATCAGGAGGTCCACCAGCAGGGTCAGAACTGTAGAAGCCCTCCCACTGTTGCCCCCCAAGCACCAGAATACAGAGCATCACTGACCCAGATGTAGTGTTCCATCTATACCTTGTGGCTAATAGCCACTGATGAACCTCTGCTCCATATATTTATCCAATCCTCTCTTGGCAGACTCAGGGACGCTGTCACATTTAGCTTGGTTCCTAGTTGGCATAGTTTTCCTTGTGTTCAATGGGGTGTTACTTCCATGGTGGTGTTCGTAGACTTGCATTGTTAGTGGGCTTTCTGCTGATTCTCCAAACCAAGCCCATAGCTCGCATCCCCCCCCCCCGCAGATATTATGGGCCCCTCC